GCGCTCCTGGCCGGAGGAGGATCACCAAAACACTTGGTTGTCGGGAGAGAAAAACAAATAAATTAATAAAAAAAAAAAAAAAGAAAGAAAGAAAGGAGTTTTCAGGCATCGACATGGCCAAACAGGGAACCTTGCCGAGGACAGTCCAACCAGAGGCTGCCCGCCCAGCAAAGTGCCGTGCAATGCGCTGCTGGGCGCTGGTGGCCCCCCATCCCTCCCCGGGGCGGTGGGACCCCAATGGGGACGGGGACCCACGCTCGCCCACCAGCCTGGCACCTCGCTCCGCTTTAAAGGGGGCGGTGGCAGCCCCCGGCAAGGTTTGGGGTGCCTCGGGGGGGGACCCCACCGGCAGAGGGGCGGCAGATGTGGGGTTCAGCCGGGTTACAGGGGTGCATGCGAGGGTGCTACGGGGCCACCGGGCCCCCCCACGGCGGGCACCGCCACCCACTTGCCCTCCCGCCGGCCCCCGGTGCATTGCAGGGCACAGCCAGAGGTTGGACTGTTGCTCTCCGAGGGCTGTAGGCAGGGGCTGGGTACAAGCCGATGAGAGGAAGAGGAGGAGGAGAGGAGTACAAAACACTCGTACTTGCTCCATCAGCATTGCCATCGCAGGGGCGCCGGGAGGAGGCAACTCAAAGCTGATAGAACAGGGCTGAGGGTGACACTTCCACCTCCCCACTGTCCTGCCCGCCTGGCCCTGTCCCCCCTCCAGCCCCTCGCTGTGCTGCTGTGCCCCCCGCAGCCTTCCCCCCTTCCTGCCCCTGCCAGGCAGGCAGCTGGTGGGTGCCACGTGCAGGACATCGTGATGGGGGTGTGCGGGGGGAGTGTGGCGGTGGGTCCCCCCGGGACTGTCTGTACCTGGGTGTCCTCATGCCCACCCTGTGGGTCCAGCCCCACGGGGTCCCTCCTGCTCTGGCATGCAGCTGGGCATCGCAGGGACGTGGGCTAAATCCTGCCCTGAGTTGCATGGGTGATGTCCTGCTGCACTGCAGGGGGGTACCAGCCCCAGCAGCCCCCCACCTGCCTCGGTGGGACTTTGGGCTCAAACTTGGCTGCTCCTGGGGGGCACGGACGACACCGGGATGCTATGGCCAGCAGGGGCTTCATGCCATGCTGAGCCCCAGGGCAGTGGGGACGGCCACCAAGCAGCAGTGAGGGCAGGCAGTGTGGCACCCCAGGGCTCAGACACCCCACAACCCTGCGGGGCCAGGCCCACCACCCCCCACGGGTGGTCCCATCCCCACCTCTGCCGAGGGTTTCTGCCTGGGGGGCTTCCCCAGAAAAGCCTGTCCCAGGGGACGATGGCAGCGGAGGACTGGGTCCCCCACCCACCCTCCATCCCCGTCACCTTTGGGCACCCACCCCGCAGCCCCCTGCTCCCTGCACAGCCCTATCCCTTTCAGGTTGAGTTGTCTTAGGGAGGGAGGAAGCAGAGGAGCCGGGATTGGGGAGGGAGAAGGATTGGGAGGAGGACGAGCAGAGGGAGAGGAGCAAGAAGAGGGTGGTGCTGGTGGGGGGAGGAAGAGCAGGGTATCAAACTAGCTACAAAAAACCTCGTGGATTGAAAACGGCAGACTTTCATACGAGATCGGCTCTTGAACGATATCGAACCGGGTTTGGGAGCGATGCACAAGGGAGGGAGTGGGGGATTGTCGTGACAAAGCTCTCATGGACAGAACAAGACATGTTGCTTTCAAATAAAGGGGGAACTGGAGGAG